TCTCCAGGCTTCCGGCAACCTTGCTGTTTCCTTGGCTAGATTCACCTCTCCTCCACAGCAGCTCTTTAAAACGGCCTCTGCGTCGCAGGGAGAGTAGCTGTTGGCCAGGGCCTCCCTCCACTCCCTGCTCCAAACTTCCCTGGTTTGCATTCTTTCTTTTCTCCTATCACAGTGGCATCCTAAGCCCAAGGCCTCCGGTGCGTGCCCTGCAGCCACCCTCCCTGCCTCTCCACTTGGGGACTTTAAGAACAGCCTCTTCTCTGCCTTCTGTCTTAACCCTCTTGTTCTATCAACATTCTATCAACCCATCACATCTCTCCCAGCTTAAAAAGCTCCTCAATCGCCAAGACAGGTTGGTCCCACCCTCCGAACGTCCATCAGCTCTGTTGTGTTTGGCTCTGTCCTGACAGCCACCCCTTTGTCTGGGCGGCCATCATTTCGCATCTGGAGATGCTCTCATCAACCGAAGGATTCCTCTCTCCCTATTTTTGCCCCTCCCAGTTAATTCTCTATGCTGCAGGCAGAATGATTGTCCTAAAACACAATTCGGACCAGGCCATTCCCCTGCTGAGAATCCTTCACCGGCTTCCTCTTCACCTTAAGAAATGGTGCCACCTACTATGGAGCCTCTGAAGCCTGGGACTGGCCCAGGGCTCCTCCCTGGCTGCACCCCTTGCCTCTTGCCGGTGAATGCTCCAGTTCCGGCCACACAAACCCTCTGTTTCCTTGAAGGAGCCAAGTTCTCTCATCTCTGGACCCTCCGTCTGCTCTTCCTTCTTTCTGGGGTAGTCTTTCTTCTCCATCTCTCTAGTTTGGCCATCTGCTTCTCATCCCTCAGGGGCCAGCGGAAATGGCCCTTCTGGGATTGATTGGATGTTTCTTCGGATTCGTTTACTCCTAAAGTCAATTCCTGGCTCTGCAGCCAGCTGGTCCCAAATCCTGTTCTGGCCAGAGTACTTTCCTCATTAAAAGCTTTCCATGCTTCTCATTGTCCTGAGGACAAAGTCCAAATTCCTCAGCTGGGCCGACAAGGCCATTCCACAGATGCGAGTAAAAGTGGAGCTATTTGGTAGGAGCAAGGTGAAGGCTTCCCGCTACATGACTCATTTTCTCGGGACAGGGAGGCCAAGCCTGCGGGGGGGGGGGGGGGGGTTGCTGGGGTTGAAGGCCATGGAGAGAACTTAGGGGCCGCCGCTGTGGAAGCAGGAGCTGACCAGGGAAGCACAGTGGAACTGATGAGTAGAATGGCAGCCCAGCTGAGATGGGTGACGAGGAATTCATGGTGACACCAGGCGGCCTGGCCGTGCGGATTTCTCTAATAACCGCTCACCGTGAGCATAATAATCCACCGTGGGTGGATTCATCCAAGGAGGGGGATTTGCTGGGGCAGTGGGACCAAAGGACGGGGAGAGGGGGGCTAAGGAGTTGAGGACTCTGTCAAGGAATGGGTGAAATGATGGGCCATGGGATCTTAACCAGAAGGGAGATGAAGACAGTAGGGGGAGGGAAGACAGGAGGGGCCAGTGGATGTCTGGTTGCAGCATGGACCGAGATGGGATTTAGAGAGATGCTCTGAGCAAACAAGCTGGAGGTGGGAGGTTGTGGGAAGTCAGCTTTAGTGATTGCAGAAGCATTTCTGCCCTGCCTGTGCCTCGACCCAGCTCCTGCTCAGACCCACATTATAGCTGGGTGTGGAGGTTTCCACTGCCCTTTAGAACGGCCCTCGGGGGCAAGGGCCATATTCTTCATCTGGCATCCTTCCCAGGAGAGCTCAACATGGGCCTTGTCGGCAATGGCTGCTTATTCGGACATTTGTGCGATAGGACTCATCCCCTCCCCTTTCTCTAGGCCTGTGTTTCTATTTTCCTTTCGTTTTTTTGTTTTTGTTGTAGCATTTTATTTGTTTGTTTTTCTCAAACAAACCTTCTGCCCCTTGTTTGGGTTTTTAAAAGTAATCTCTAGGCTCAACGTGGGGCTCAAACTCATGACCCCAAGATCAAGAGTCGCAGGGTCCACCAACTGAGCCAGCCAGGCACCCTTCCTTTAGTTTTTTAAAAGAAATATCGTGAAAGAGTCTAACCCTGTCTCAGATGAAAAGAAACAGGATTTCTCCCCATATTACAGGATGGAGAGGCAGTCTATGGTCCTCTGATGGCCCTGGAGTTGTTGAGAATGGGAGCCCTGGAAGAGTGAGAATTTGGGGGCAGAAAGATTCTGGGCCAACAGTGGACAGTGGCCCAAGTTCCCGACCCATCCCATTCTGGGTAGGTCTCTCCCTGATCCTCGCATACCTATTGCCATCTGACCAAGCTGAGTAATTCATTCATCCAGTAAAGCTCCTACTATGTGTCAGGCCCACCTTGGGAACAAAGGATATGCAGATGAGCAACACCCCAATCCTGATTCAGGAGACAGGCACACAGGGAAAGAACTGCAGACTGGTGTCTACAGTTGTGGGGCCCGGCATAGAAAATGGGCAACTCATTAGTTTGGGGGGACAGGGTTGGGGAAGATGCCTAGAGAATTGGGTCTCGAAGGGTATGAAGGCAAGGAGGAGAAACAAACGCTGGGAGAAGTGAGAGAACATGGGGAGGTCACAGCAGTTCCGTGGGGCTGGCTCATGGGCTGCTTTGAGGTGTGAGGGAGGCCAAATTATGTCAGGGAGCCTGCATATTAGTCTGCATGCCGTGGGGGATCAGGGAAGGACCTGAACGTAAGTCCGTTTTAGGACAGCACTGGGTTGCCACCTGGAGCTTCCCAGGTATAGTCTGAAACTGGACCTCGTACGTGGAGGGCAGGAAGAGACCAGGGACGGAGACAGGCCACTCCAGATCGGTGGCTGGCAGGTGTAATGGGCAAGGGAACTTACTTATGGGGCTTTTCCTGGGTGGCTACAAGACAAGATCTCTGCACCTGCCTGTCAGACCGTAAGAGTTTATACAGAGGCCTTCACTGGGTTCAGTCTCTTGTACCATCCAGATGGTCTCACCACGACACCACTGTCTCAAGGCTGTATCCTTGGGGCAGCTTCTAGGAGCCAGAGAGGCAAGCAGGACACGCATTTCAAGGACAGGAGAAGGGGTGAGGAGCCTCCCATCGCCTGGGTCCAGCTCACGGGTCACCTGGCGGTTACATTCCCCCAACCCCATCACCTCCCCTAATAGTCACTGTGGCTCAAGTGTGTGTGTTGGGGTTGGGAGGGAGGTAAACTGAAGAAGAAAAGAGCAAAAGCAGGGAGGCCGAGGGGAGGCTGCACAAATCTGGCAGAGATGGGGAGGGCACTGGGAGTGAGCCTGGAGAGCTGAGCACCCCATGCACATGTGTGGGGGAGTCCACAGGTGGTGATGTGGTCACTGGACACCGGATAAGGAGGGAGCGAGGGTGCTGTCTGGGACCACGCCGAGCTTTCTAACCTGGGTGCTGGGTGAAGGCCACAGCCCCCAGGTGAGACGAGGAGATGGTTCAGGATGAGGATGAGGGGGATGGGATGTTGAATATGTGGGGTCTGAGATGCCATAGTTCCCGGGGAAAGGTTCTGCTGTCCCCGTGCTCCCGGACATGGCCTCTTGTTTCCGCTCACCTGGCTTCCTCCTCGGCTGGCAACGCCCTTCCCTCATCCATCAGCTCAGCGTTTTCTCCAGGAGGGCCCCTAGATCTTGGCCCCTGAAAGCAATTTTCTCCCATCAGAGCACATGTAGCTCTATGCTTAGCGCCCCCTGGAGGCCCGTCTGGTGTCCCTGCCTCTCTTGGGGCCCTGGCCCGGCTGCGAGGCATCTGACCCTGAGAAGCAGGAGTGATGAAACTAACGTTGGGAGGTGATCTTTGCCACCCAGGAAGTTCTGCGCTGCAGAAGGGCGATCCCTTCCAGGGCTGACCCCAAGCAGGAAGTGACTCTTACAGCCCACGGGGGTTTCACACAACCCTCCCTTGCCTGGGGGGCGGGCGGGGGTGGTGTGCAGAGGAAGGCCCCCGGTGCAGCAACTACAGGGGTCAAGATGTTCTGGTCCTAGAGGTGGGGTAGGGAGCTGCAGCCTCCAGAGAAACCAGCTGATAAAACCCCAGTGCTTCAGGCTTTATCTTGAACCAGTGCAGGAGCAAATGTGAAGTACTCGGGCCACACTCCTCTCTACAGCCCGCTCCCTGGGACCAGAAACCCACCACCTTCCTGAAGGGAAGCATCCACTCACCCCAGCTTGCCTCCGCAGTACCTATGAGGAGAAACCACAGGCCTGACTGGGGACACAGCACCTTTTGTCAGCTTGCGAGAGGCACAGTGTTCCCTGGAGAAGGGTAGTTGTTGGGGGTGGGCAAGGGGAGGGGGAGGGAAGGTCTCTAGGTGAGATGGCGAGGGACAGACAATCACAATGACAGCGGCCACCACTTTTATTGCACACCTGCCATGTGCCTGGTCCTTCCATACACGATGGCATGTGGCCCTCACGACCGATTTCCATGACCACGACTGTGACTCTCCAGAAACTGAAGCTCAGCGAAGTTAAGTCACTTGCCCCAGGCCCCCAGCTGGTGAGTGGTAGATGGGCGGAGGGGGTTCCAGTCCAGTCCTGGCACATTGTGGAGCCCGTCGATGTTTTTTGTCACTTTGTCCACTTTGTCACCAGTTACTCTCCTCAGTGAAGAGCCACCGGGATGGTCTCCGGGCTAGGCAGGTAACAGTCACTCCTGGGAAGTCCCTGATAGGTGTCACAAGGCAGGGTGGCATCTGAGGGGTGTTGGGAATAGGGGCCAAGAATCTTCAGGGACTCGAGAGGGACAGGTAGACTGACCGTTCCATGGTCACAGACCCCCAGTTCTGCGGAGACACCCCACGCCTTCCTGTGGCATGGGGACACGTGGTCCCCCAGCACAAGTCCTGGGGAGACGTACATACTCACACACACTCTTCTGCACATGTACGTGCAAGCACACCCCCGCTCACGCCCGCTCACACCCCGGCGCAGCTCTGTGGCCGCAGAGGCAGGTGGCCGAAAAGGGGAATTCGGTCAGATGAGGCTGGCGATGCTGGATGTGGTCTCGTGACGCTGGCCGGCAGACAGCTGGCCTGAGATGCTGAAGATGCCGCCGTTGCCCCTGTGGTCGCCGTGGCTGGAGGGGGCGGCCGCAGGGCGAGGGGGACAGTGTCCATGCACGCCCACCTGATAGAGCAGCAAGCCCAGCAGCAAAAGCGAGCCCGAGGCAGCCAGGCCGATGCCCACCGACAGCATAGCGGCCAGTGGCCGCGCCGGGGCAGGGGCGGCCGCCAGCCCAGCCAGGGTCAGGCCGGTGACCAGCACCACCAGGCCGCTGAGCAGCACCACGAGGGCATCGGCCCCTCCCCCGCTCCGCAGCAGGGCCACGTGCTGGGGCTGGCGGATGCAGTTCATGTCCTGCACGGCCGAGCTCATCAGCTGCTTGACCAGAACCAGCAGGGCCAGCAGGCAGAGCACAGTGCCCGTCGCCAGCCGCCACTCGCCCGAGCGGCCGCTGGTGGAGGACAGCAGTGCCACGCCCCCCGCCCCACAGCCCGCCACCAGGACCACGGCCACAGTGAAGCAGAGCGCGGAGCGCCGCGGCTGCTGGGACCACCACAGCTCTACCTGCTCTGCCAGCATGTCTGGGGGCAGCCCCCCGGCCGGCGGGGCCGGAGCCTCTCCTTCAGACATGGCGGCGGGCGGGGTAGAGGGCGAGCGCAGCGTCGGGGCTACAGGCTGCGGGTCATGGCCTAGAGCCCCCCACCACCTGCTTGGCAGCTAGAGGCCCAGAGTCCCGTTCCTCTCCCAGTCCAGGGTATGGTCACCATCACCTGCAGGGGGGATCACACTTGTTACCTCCCCAGCCCACTCGCCCTTGATGGTCTCTCCTGGGAGCCTGGGGGATGATCCCTGGGAATCCGCCCCAGTGTCCCCCGACAGACCCCTCCCCAGCACTGCCACTTGGGAATGCCTCTCCAATGGCCCCAGGAGAGTTCCCCCACAGAACACATTCCCCCACCCCTCCGGGGAAGCCCCTGGCCCAGCCCCTGACCTCTCTGGCTCTCTCAGTTGCCTGTCCCATCCCGGCTGGCCGAAGGAGCTGATGCCACAGTGGATGGTGGGACCGAGAGCAGAGATAAAGCCTCATTCAGGATCAGACTCACATGGCCTCAGCTGTCACCGCTGGCTCCTGGGGGGAGGGTTGCGGGGAGGGAGGGGGCTTATGACTTAACCCTTCTGGAACCAGCAGCCTGACCCTGAACCTTCTCTCTTGGGACTGCAGCTACTTCTCTGTGGGTTAGGATCTAATCCCTAACTCTCTCCTTCCCCAACGTCTCATCTGATTTCCTATCCACAGCTGCTGGTGCCCCAATCCCTCTCTCCCCCAAACCTGGATCTCCCTCCTAAGCTCCAGACCCAAAGCCAATTGTTACCTTGATGTTCCCTAGTCATCTCTGATGCAACACTTCCCGACCCAAGCTCGTCATCTTAGCCCAGAACTCCTCCTCTCATGTTTCCTACTTCCTTGTGAAGTGCACGTCCCAGGGAGGCCACCTGTAAACCTCTCTCCACATAGTCCCTGCTTCCATCCCCACGCCTCTTGCCTCATCACCCCCACTCACGCCCCTCTTCCTGCTCCTTTCTCCATTCTCCCTCTCACCAACCCCCTCATGCCATTCTCCTCCTCTAGGATTTCTCTAAAGTGGAGCAAAGGGAGGAGGGCTCTGTCCTTGAACCCCAGCTGCTGTCCTTACCAGCCATGGGACTTGGGCGAGGGACCTGACAGTGGTTACTCGTTTAACAGCCAGCCAACATGACTCAAACTGGGCAAAATAAAGCAGTGTGGACCCTGCCCTCAAGGAAACCCAGCTTACAGCAGGTGCATATATGTGATAAATGCCCGGTGTGTGGGTGAGTCAGAACAGGGGCTTAAGGGAGGGTCAGAGAAGCCCCAGATGAGTTCTCCTCTTAAAGCCTCAGTCTCCCTATTGGAAAAGTGAGGACAATAACATTTATCTTGAAGGATGGGGGCGAGTCATTTGACATCTCCACTTCAAAATTCCAATGGGAATTCCAGGGCCTGCAGAGATGCCTAAAGAATGCTTTTTTAAATAAAAGAATACAATGTTCTCCCCTCCAATTCAGGATAGGACCCCTGCTTTACACATAGGATGCAGGTCCTGGGTCGTTCCAGGAATATGATGAACATGGCCCTCCACGCTATACACCCCCCATGAGTCTGTCCTTCACAACCCCTCTGAAGGGGCAGCCTAGCACACAGGGTGGGAGGAGCAGGTGCAGATGCTCCCAAGGGAGGTGGGGGAGGGGCCTTAGGAGGGGACCTGGAGTCAATCCCAGCATTCCTCAGGACTGTGCCTTCACTGGTCTGGAAGTGCTTGCACAGGTGTGCTGGGCCAGTGGGGCCAGGCTGGGGGTGGGTGGAGGTTCTCAGACCGAGCCAGTAGGAGAATGTGGGGGCGTTGGGGGTCAGGGGACCATGGGGCACTCACAAGAAGCCTGGAAGTGCTGGATCCGATCAGAGCAGGCAGGGCCAGGCAGATGCGGCACTCCAGCTCCATTTCCGGGGAGGTGCTTCACCTGCCTAACCTGCATCCAGGTAAGCCCTGGGGGTGTGCGTGGGGAGGGAGGAGGATCAGCAGGTGTTTCCTAGGCAGGGCTTGAGTCGATTGGCTGACGTGGCACAGCTCCTTCTGCCGGGCTGAGGCATTTCTAGGAAGGGAGGAGGGGCTTCTGTCCGCTGCTGTTAGGGCTCGAACACAATTCTCAGATCTGGGCAGCAGGAGGAATGTTGTCTATCTGCCCCAGAGCCTGGACCCTGACCCATCCCCCCCGCTCCAAGCCCAGCTTAGTTTTAGTGCCAGCCTAAGCCTAACCCCCAACCCCAGCTGCACTTTCAAACCCTAACTAGATTTCCTAGCTCCGACTGCAACCCCTACCCCACATCTTAGCCCCAACCCCCAGCCCCATTTCCAAATCCAATTCCAGCCCCAGCTTCAAATCCCAACCCCAAATCTGGCTTGAAACCTCAGCTCCAACTCCTCACCCCAACCCCAGGCTCCAAATTCTGGAATTAGACCCTAGACCACGACTTTGACTCTTGTTCCTGAATTCAGCCCCCAAATCCCAGCCCCAAACTCAAATCCTGCCTCAGCCCCAAATCCCAACACCAGCTGATCCCCAAACCCAGGCCCCGTACCCTCATCCCTGGAGTGGAGCCCCTACAAGCCCCTTGCTCCGTCTCCTTTAAAGCCCCAAGGGCCTGACGCAGGAGGTTGGCCCCCTGGACGTGGCTCCTGCTGGGGGAGGTGGGACTTGAGCTCACCCAGAGGAGGGGAAAGGCTTTTCAGGTGTGAAATGGGAGCTCCTTTGCTTAAAACTGTTGCAGAATAAACCCTTTAGGGTATATGCCACACTCTTTTGCAGGGCTCACACAGCCCCTGCCATCTACCCCAGGCCAGTCATTTGCCCCTGGCCCCTGCCCTCCAACCAGATGGCATGTCCTTCAGTTCTGCATGCTCCGTCCACTGCTTTGCCCTTCCGGTTGGTTTTTGAACTCAGAGTTCCCCTGCACGGGGTATTTACCACCATCCAGCCTCAGTCTGGCCAACTCATATTCTTCAACTGGGATGTCACCTCCTCCAGGAAGCCCTCTCGGACTTCCAGGTTGGTTTAGGTGCCTCTGGTACACCCACGGCCCCTAGTGCTTTGCCCCACAGCTGCTCTTACCTAAGCATGTGCTGTAATTGCCTCTATTTACTTACTTGTCATCCCCCACGACAGGGGGGTCTTAGTGTCTGTTTTGCTAACCACCTGACCTTAGTAGCCAGCACTTTGCCTGGCAAGTGGGAAGTAACAGTAAATATTTGTCGAATGAATGAATGTGTGAAGAGACAGGGGCAGGCAGCATGTGAGATAAGGCTGGAAGGACAAGTTTGGCAGGTTGCACAGGGACTCGCCTGCCATGGCAAGGCGTCTGGACTCCTCTGAGGTGCCCTTGGAGGATTCTGAAGTGCACCAGGGATGTGGCCAGCGCTCTGCTTCTAACACCGCACGCACTTCGGGTGGGTGAACGGGGCCCGCTTGGAGGTGGTTGCAGGCTGTCACCCATCTCCTGGATTGGGCCCCTTGCAATGCCTCTTCCTCTCTCTCCTTCTGGTATGTGTGAAATAGATAAGAAAAAGTCGGAGTTTTCTTCCCATTATCGGCTCACAAAATAATCATGCTTGACCTCTCTTAGCTTTGTTCTGTGGAGAGGATGGGGGAGCCAGTCGTAACTTGAGAGCAGTGTTGTCAAATAGCATTATAATGTGAGCCACAGATGTAATTTAAAATCTTCTAGTGGGGGCGCCTGGGTGGCTCAGTCGGTTAAGCGTCTGCCTGTTCGGCTCAGGCCATGATCTCAGGGTCCTGGGATCGAGCCCCGCTTTGGGCTCCCTGCTCGGCGGGGAGCCTGCTTCTCCCTCTCCCTCTGCCGCTGCCCCTGCTTGTGCTCTCCCTCTGGCAAATGAATAAATAAAATCTTTAAACAAATAATAAAATCTCCTAGTAGCCACGTTAAGAAGGTTAAAAAAAGGTGAAAATAATAAACGACAATTTTTATTTAACCCCCAAATATTTTCATGTTAGTGAATGATTATGATTTATGATTATGATTTCCAGGTAGTGAATGATTACAAATGAGTAATAAGCTACTTCAGTCTTTTATTCTGTGCATCTCAGTTCAGACTAGCCTTGTTGCAAATGCTCAATTGCCACATGTGGCCCTCAGCTCCCTGATTGATCAGCGCAGATCTAGATGATTCTTCCCCTCAAGGAAAAGTGACGGCAAGCTGACTGCTGTGGGGCGGGCTGGATCTCAGGGAGGACCACGTGGGTGTGCCACTTTGCAAAACTTTATAAAGGTACCCCCTGCCCTGGGGCGGGCAGGGTGAGGGGGCAGGGAGGGTCAGGGCTCCAGGCTGTGTCCTCCTCAGGTTGACGTGCTGATTTCTAGCAAGTATTTATCTTCCTGGTCCCAAGAAGTCAGCGCAGCCAGACCCATGGTCCAGCTGTCCTGGATGGAGCTGGGGCAGCAGAACTCATGAGATTTTTCTCTCCCTTTCCCCTGAGCGGTTTGAAAAGACCTTTTTGGGTGATGGGTAACACAGCCTAAAAGGTTCCTCAGCTCACACATTGATTGCATGAGTCCTTGGTCTCGGTCTGGGTCTTATCAAATAACTTTGGAGTCCAAGTGGACAGGCAGGCTCCTTGCAGGGCTTTTTGAACTCTGTCCCCAAAGCAGAAGCTGTGGGGGCAGCTCAGGTGGGCAGCCGGGAAAGCCAGGAGTAGGAGGTGGCAGTGGGCACAGAGTGCAAAGTGTGGATTCTAACTGGTCCATTAGTGGGAGTTCTGAGAGGTCCACCTCTCAAAAGAGAGGCCCTGTGGCCCAGTCTCCCGGCTTCTGCTGCATTCCCACCAGCCCGCAGCCTACTGTCACCCTGGTAGCTGGGATGACCCTGTCCTAAGGCAGAGCCGTGCTACGTGTCTCCACTGGCCTACCTTCTGCAAACAGCTGAAGTCCTCCTGGATCTCTAAGGCCCTCTCTGATTTCATCGCAGTTACCCTCCCTGGCTTGCTCTTGCTCAGAGCCTTTGCATGGGCCGTTCCCTCTGCCTGGAATGCTTTTCTCC